TTTATGTTTTTTTGTGGTTTTTTGTGTTTTTTGGGGTTTTTTTCCCCTCTTGGCAGAGCATTCCTATGACAACTGCGCCTTCGCCGTGGTGAGTCCCTGGGTTTTCGGTGGGTTTTGGGGTCACCCCGTTGCCCCCCTGACCCCACCTCACCCCGTTTCTCCCCCTCCCTCAACCAGAACGTGCCCCCGGGAGCTCGTGGTGTCCCCGGTCCGTCCCCGGTGTCCCCCCACAGAGACCCCCGGGCGGCCCCCCCCTCCTTCAGCACCTTCAGGTCGTAACGGGGGGCCCCCGTTACCGGGAAGAACCAGGAGCCACCGGCAGCACCGGGACGGAGGGGGGAGAGTCACGGTCGGCGAGACACCGGGGGGCTGCCCAGTGAGACCCCCGGCACCCGAAAGGTGCACACTGGCAGACCTTCCTCTTCCTCCTCCTCCTCCTCATCCTCATCCTCCCCGCTTTCCGTGATGCTCCGGAGCCGGCTCTGGTGTCAATAAAGGTGTTTTCCGCCCGGTGCCGGTGCGGGATGTGGGTGCCCTGTGTCCCCCCCGGTACCGGGACCCGGTATCAGTGTCTGTGCCCGGTGGTAGAGCCCGGTGCCGGTACCTGGTGGCAGTTCCTTGTCCCGGTACCAGTCCCCAGTGCTGGTGCCAGTCCCCGGTACCGGTCCCCGGTGGCGGTGGCAGTGCCCTGTCCCGGTCCCTGATCCCGGTGCCGGTTCCCGGTGGCATTGTCCTGTCCTGGTGCCGGTCCCTGGTCCCTGTCCCGGTGCCGTGGCAGTGCTCGATCCCGGTGCTGGTCCCCAATCCCAGTACCAGTCCCTGTCCCGGTGCCGGTCCCTGTTGTCTTTGTCCCGGTCCCGGTGGCAGTTCCTTGTCCCGGTGCCGGTCTCCGGTGCTGGTGGTGGTTCCCGGTGCTGGTGCCAGTCCCCGGTCCCTGTCCCGGTGCTGTGGCAGTGCCCTGTCCCGGTCCTCGATCCCGGTGCCGGTCCCTGGTGCCAGTCCCCGATCCCGGTGCCGGTCCCTGGTGGTGGTGGCAGTGCCCTGTCCCGGTCCCGGTGCTCGTCCCTGTCCCGGTGTTGGTCCCCGGTACCAGTCCCTGGTGACGGTGGCCTGTCCCGGTGGCAGTCCCTGGTCCCTGTCCCGGTGCCGTGGCAGTGCTCGATCCCGGTGCTGGTCCCCAATCCCAGTACCGGTCCCTGTCCTGGTGGCGGTTCCCTGTCCTGGTGCCGGTCCCCGGTGGCAGTTCCCAGTGCCAGTGGTAGAGCCCGGTACCGGTACCTGGTGTCGGTTCCTTGTCCTGGTGCCGGTCCCCGGTGCTGGTGGTGGTTCCCAGTGCTGGTGTCAGTCCCCGGTACCGGTCCCCGGTGGCGGTGGCAGTGCCCTGTCCCAGTACCCATCCCTGTCTCGGTGCTGGTCCCCGGTGGCGGTGCCCTGTCCTGGTCCCCAATCCTGGTGCCGGTCCCTGATCCCGGTGCCGGTCCCTGGTGGCGGTGGCAGTGCCCTGTGCCGGTCCCTGTCCCGGTGTTGGTCTCCAGTGCCGGTTCCCGGTGGTATTGTCCTGTCCCGGTGCCGGTCCCTGGTCCCTGTCCCGGTGCCGTGGCAGTCCCTGATCCCGGTGCCAGTCCCTGTCCTGGTGCCAGTTCCCGGTGGCGTTCCCCAATCCCGGTGGCGGTCCCCATCCTGGAGTCGATCCCCGGTGGCAGTGCCTTCTCCCAGTCTTTGTCCCGGTCCGTGTCCCGGTTCCCGGTGGCAGTGCCCTGTCCTGTCCCGGTGCTCGTCCCCGGTGGCAGCTCATTGTCCCGGTCCCTGTCCCGGTGCTGGTCCCGGGGGCAGTACCGTGTCCCGGTCCCTGCCCTGGTGCCGGTCCCCGTGCCGGTTCCCAGTGACGGTGTCCTGTCCCGGTCACTATCCCGGTCCCTGGTGCTGGTCCCCGGTGCTGGTCCCGGTTCCCAGTGGCCAGTGCCTTGTCCCGGTGCCGGTTCCCGGTGGCAGTGTCCTGTCCCGGTCCCTGTCCTGTCCTGGTACTGGTGCCGGTCCCGGTGGCAGTGCCCCGTCCTGTCCCGGTCCTGGTCCCAGTGGCAGTGTCCTGTCCCGGTGCCGTCTCCCGGTGGCAGTATCCTGTCCCGGTGCCGTCTCCCGGTGGCAGTGTCCTGTCCTGTCCCGGTCCTGGTCCCGGTGGCAATGCCCTGTCCTGTCCCGGTGCGTGTCCCCGTCCCGGTGCGTGTCCCCAGGCCGGTCCCAGTGCCGGTTCCCGGTGACAGTGTCCTGTCCCGGTGCCGGTTCCCGGTGGCAATGCCCTCTCTCGGTGCTTGTCCCCGTCCCGGTGCGTGTCCCCGGTCACTGTCCCCGTCCCGGTGCGTGTCCCCGGTGCCAGTCCCAGTGCCGGTTCCCGGTGCGTGTCCCCGTTCCCGGTGCGTGTCCCCGTTCCCGGTGCGTGTCCCCGGTGCAGTTCTCCCTCCGGCCGGCAGAGGTCGCTGTGTTCTGTGGAAGTGTGTGTGGAGGGGGGGGGCGTGTCCT